ACCAGCAGCTGCGTCTCATCCGTACATCGTGACTTTCAGTCCCTGGGTTTTCCCCGGATTATCTGTACTCTCGACGGTGCATATCCTTGAAAATATTTACAACTCGGGAAGGCAGGCAAAATGGAGATGCGCTGCCCGAGTCATAAACTGACGGCTAGTAGTAGTTAGTAAGTTTTTTGTGACAGTTGTAGTTGCTGGTGTTAGTGTTGGGATATACTGCTGCATTTTCTTCTCATTTTTGTATCGCGGAAGAAAAATCGAACTACGATCGGCGGGATTTGAAACCCGGGTCCCGAACGTTCGTAATCTAAGGCGCCACACTATTTGGTGTCGTTCGGTGGTATTTGCTGACGAGTGCCGCCACAGATTTTTCAAACTTGTTAGAATCTGGAGCCGATCGAAAGAATTGCTGACTCGATCCGAGTATCAAGTACCCGAGATGTTCGGGTTCTCGTACATCTCTACTGACCACGAGTTGTCCCCGCCAATGTCATGGAACTGCTCGCTGGAGGAACACCTCGGCGTCAGCTACGATCCGTATCGATGTAATTCAGCCCGGTATCAAATTACCGAAATAAAAACGATATAATTTTTTTAGTTTTTATTATATCGTATTTATATAATAAATATAATTATTAAATATACATATGAGTTGAGTTCTCATTAGGGTTAGAGGCGTATAACGAATCTTCATTTGGATTAGCCATTGTTGTTGTACAATAATATTTACTGGTATAAATATGGTTATTACAGAATTTGACAAATTACCGCGATGATTAGACACTCGAGATGCTAATGACAATGATCTTAGGTTCGATAACGAATCCACGGTCAACGGGACAACTCTTTGTTAAAACATAGAGTATATTTTGAAACACAAAAATGTTCGCTAGGACGCTGGGTATATTAACTGCTCGTCAAAACGATGTGTAACTCTCCAAGGAGATGGCACGAAAAAAAAAAGAGTTTTGTTTTACATTGGTCGAGGGATACCGACTTCCAATCGCCGTTGCTAGGCAGTTCCGCGTAGCGTCGACATTGTTCCTGCCCGGAGTTTGATTATTAATACAATGTACGTGTCTTACGATATTGACACTCTGAGGCAAAACCACACGTGGCTTGATTTGTCCTCGAGCCCGTGTGCCGCTACAACTATATTTTTAAGGAGACCTATACAACTACTCCATACCACTGTTGGGTAAAAACGTCCATCCCGTGACCGTGGTTATGTTTAGCGACCAGTTGTGTCACCTCGAGCCCAAGCCCACTGTCACAAATCTCGGGCAAACATAATCGGATTCAATCATAAACAACTACTTCTAGGTTTTTATTATTTAAGTACAGCTATAATAAAAAGTCTAGACTAAAGTATCAACATTTCCGGATCTAGCAAATTCCTTGCCTCTGAGCCGTCCTCTTGTTAGTCCTCTTTCCAGTAAGACATAAATATGTTGTGGAGGAAGAGAAAGCACGATTCTGAACAACTTTTTCCTTTTCCTAAATACATATAACCGACTAAGCGATATCGCTTAGTTACCGCGATATTCGCAAGAAACTGTCCACAACACACAGTAAATTCCGCGTATAATTGTGCGCCGTCTATGACAACGCATGCATCAGTAGTGGTTGTCGGTCGCTTATCTTTCGTTTATAAAGGACAAGCGTGCGATGTTGATGGCCCTGTGCACGATCATAAATTATAACCCTCGATGAAAAGTGAGTATCATCGATATGTCGGGTTTACGTTTGGGTTAGATTTTTCAATCAGGTGGCCGCAGCGAGGAACGAATGCCAAACGGGAAATACGGCACACGAATTTCATTCGGGGCCGAGGTGAAAATAGCGTGACTGAAGGACGACAGGATAACAGAGGCACGTTAGAGCACGCCGTTGATATTATACCCGTGTCGTGTGTCACGTTATCAGGGAACGTACATGTTATCGTAATAATGTCGGCCAGGTTAGAATGCTTTGTCGAGTGTTGTATGGGTAACTGTACACCGCAATATTGATATCGCATCATTTCACGGCACGGAGACGCGTTCAAAGGCCGAGCGGGATTTGTAATGCATGGAATGGGCCGGGCTGGCACCCATACTCCGGATCTCCTCCGTTGAAATTCAATTCTCGTTAACTTACCGTGTTGCAATTGCAACGCAATACAACCGTCGACCTGATAAATATGACTAGCCTCTCTCACACCCCAATTTTGATCAGACACATCTGGATTTTATCAAAATTTCCTTCACCATAGGATACGTATTGGTCAGAGATCCATTTTTCTTTAGAGTGATTTCTATTTTGCCATTCAAATCTATAATCTAGTAAAATGTTTTCTCTACTTTTCGTTCGTGTTTCACTTTAAGTGATGTTCGGCAACATTGAACAACTTTGCATAAGTTACCATACCGATGAAACTTTACTCGAGATTGTAACTGGTGAAGTTCTCTTTGGAATTCCTCTAATTCTATGTCTTTTCTTTTCTTCTTTTTCACTCGAACGATTCATCTTAACATACTTTAAATTAAATTCGATAGGAGCTTCGGTTTAAATGCCAAAATCCAGGTTATTGGCAGAATTTGTAAAATTGCACTTCTTCTGTCACAAAGACGCTTCGTGTTTCCATAAAGAGGATTTGTTTTAGCGCACTCACTGCTAATCGATCATCGCGGTGAAAACAGGATGGAAAAGCATAATCCGACAAATACGTCGTTATTTTCTAGTTGATGGTTCAACAAAAACGTAGCTTCAATCTTCTAATTAACGTTACTTGTACAAAACGTTTCGAATCAAAGTGCTGTATACAATGGTACCAGTACACCCTATTTCGAGTCCCGAGTATACAAAGACATAATTTTAACTTCATGTCGCGTCTTTTAATTAACGCGAGTCATACACAACGTTTCGGACGCGAGAGTGTTGGTTCGTACAGCAACAAAGGTTGTACGAATATCGTGGTTTACACGGGGAAAGAATTTACGTTATTTTCTGGAAAATGTAATTTATTAAAGAATACCTACATTTGTAAAAACAGTACATATCGTACTAATAAAATCTACAAATTTCCCGAACGATCTATTAACTTTACCAGCTTTCTAATTTTTAGAAAATACAAACGTTAGTTTTTATAATTGTTCAACGGTTCGTTTCGTTGTACGACAGAACCGTTGTGATACAACGTTGCGAAAGCTCGTGGAAATAGTTCGTTTTCCCGCTGTGAAACAACCAATTTATTCGATTACGCGCTGTAACTATTCTTTGATATAAACATCAATTCTTATATCTTTATAGAAATTCTAATACGACAATTTTAATTCGCGCTTTCATAACGATACATATCGTTCTTGATCTCATATTCTTCCCGATTATCGAATTATGCGACCAGCGCTGTGATGGAAATTGAAATATTAATTTGCTGAATATTTAACGTAATAGTTTAATTGCACATTGCAAAGCATTATCGTTCCCGTACAATTATCATTCGACGTCATTAATCGATAGCTGGGTAAGTAAATAAATCATCTCATAATGAAAATTGTAATTACGATCCATATTTAAATTAGTCATCTGTCAAATATGAAACTTATCATATAATCATTCCACGTGTGATAAACGAAATGAATTTTTTTTTAAATCTCAATATCAGATTCATTAATAGATTTGTTCATTTTTTAACGAATGTTATATATATTATATCGAGCGGACGTTTAAACGAATAATTATAACGAATAAACATTGCAATAGAAGAGAAATGACCAATATCAGACCAATTAAGAAAAGAAATTGCATCATTTACTTACCCTAGCTTCGTTTATTTTCTAACTTTTTCAAACGTTTACGCTGACCCAAAACAATTTATAAAATACGAAGATCAGCAAACGCGCACGCCGAACGAAAAACTCCCTTTAACAACAAATTTTACAATAAAGAAATAGGGTAATGAACACGACGTACTTGATAAAATACACACACGCACACAGAAACATATACGTGTATAAAAGCACATAAATATAACGCGTTCAAAGAAAAGCAGACAAATTTATTACTCGATCTATCATAATTTTCATTAAGCTGTTTCAAGCGGCACTTAGTAAACGATACGATGACGCGATTAAATATCTTTATCTCTCAAGTGAACAAAACGATGTATATTAAATAAAGTTAGAGGCAGTATGGAATATCTAGTTCACTCGTTTTCTGGCTGGTCGTCTAGCCTAGGATGCTTGACATCTTCTGGTCCAACAAACTGAGACCATCGCAAACAATGAACAGGAAGCGCCTAAGGCTGACACCCAAACTTCATTCAGTGTTCGATGTTTGAGTCGAGCTCAGTTTGTACTAGGTCAGAAGCGTTGATTTGACTTGTAAAGTATATTTCAACAAATATCAATACATTTCATGCGTATCATGGAAAATTCGAATACATGACTTAAAAAATGCTTTAGAAATCATTTGCTTCGTGTGTGTGTGTGTGTGTGGGGGTG